TATACCAGACATTATCTCGATTGACCTACGGCTGGGGCCGTGGCACTTCAAGTCATCCATGTATGCGATGACGGTGTGGGACCCTTTAGTTGCGCTGTTTAAATTGGGGTCTCTCTCGATTTTCCTTAGAATTCCTGCCGTCGCTACTACGAATAGGAATGGGCTCATTGAGTCTCCTTGGAATATGCTTCTCTGGACTTTAATGTTGACACCGTCCAGTGAGGGGATTGTTAAATTCCAATGGGCCATTCCGTTCTTGAGCATGCTCTTTGTCGCTTTGGGGATGGGTAATGCGGCAATTAGCTAACGCAGTATTTCATGCGAGATTGAATCGAACGCCTTACTAAAGTCATACCACGCTGTGTGGTGCTCCCGTCCTCTCAAGTTGGCCCCCCTAGTGGCGGCCTTATCGATCAGAAGACCATGTAGAGTGCCACTCACATTGCTCCTCGCCAGCTGTTGTTTTGGGATTAGGGTTGGTGGTATGGCGTCCCTGCGGAGTTCTAAGACCGTTTTAGTAAGCAGCTTGTAGTCTACGTTAAGGAGAGCTATGGGGCGGTAGTTCGCCGGGTCGGTTGCGTCTCCTTTCTTGTGGATTAACACCAGGTTGCCCTCTACGTCTTCTTTGGTCAGCTTGTAATCCCCTTCTACTGCTCTACAAATAAATGATGTTAGATATCGTTTAGCTGACGGTAAGTATTTGTAGAGCGCTGTTGGTACCATATCTGGACCTGGCGTTTTCTATGGGGCGGTGTATTTTAAGGCAACATTGATTTTGGCTTCGACAAGGTCACGCTGGTAGGGTTGCGTTGGGGTTGAGGCGTCTTTGACCTCGTTGAGCCAGTCGTCAGCCCATGGGTGTTCGGTTACCGGCGCCGGCTGATAAAGCCGTTGGAAGAACGCTTTTGTCGTTTCCGGGTCCAAATTATTAGAGGGGGGATTGGGGTGGATGGTGCGCATTGACGGGCGTTCCTGAAAGTGGTGTCGATCTTTCAGGATCTGGTGCCTTTCTGTTTCTGCAACTCATCGGAGAGCAGCTCGATTCGGTCTTCTGTCGCTTTGATGTACTGGTTGGGCCTGATCATTTTTAGCTTCCTCATTTGTTCACGCTCGGCCTTTAAGTGGTGCGGGATTCCCCCGTCTGTAGCCAGGTTTTGCAGCTCTCTTGCGTTCTCGACATGCTCCTGCAGTTTTCGAATTTTTGATTCTGTTGGTTTGTAGCTGGGTTTTCGTCTACTCTTCCCTATATTTCCGCAGAGCGTCAACCGGAGAAGAAAGCCGGCTGCTAGTATTGCGTGCTTGCTGGCCTTATGCCTTCTCGCGGGAGTTGTTGATTTTCGCGTCAATTTTCGCGAGCGCCTCGTTGAGGATGGCGTCGATGTCTTTGACATTTTGATTGTCTGCGGGGATGTGAAGGCGGAGTAGGCGGCGTGGTCTGTTTCTGGAATAAGTAAGAGTTAAACATTTGCGGAATTGCTTACGGAGGTGGGGGAATGTGGGGTTGTTGTCGGTGTTTGCTGGGTTATCGATAGCTATTTGAGGGTTGTCGTCGGCCTGTGCGGGCCGCTCTGTCAGGGGCGCCTTGTGCGCCGCCTCTGGTGTTGGTGGAGATGGTGATTGTCTGGCTAGCCGCAAGTTGTTGGGAAGCTGCCGACTCGGCCCTGGCTGGAGCGTTGGTGGGAGCGGTGAGGGGTTGGTTAAAGCGCACGCCACTGGCGGAGATGAGGGTCGAGATCTGGGCGTCGGTGACGGCGTGGCTGGGGATGCGATTTGAACTGGTCTTGTCGGCGTGGTCTGGTTTCGGTGGTGTTGTTGGGACTGGTACTGCGCTGCGGGCAGCGGCGGCAGGGCGTCTTCGGATTTGGCGTAATAAACCGCGGGGTTGGTTTCTCTGAGGCGGGTTTCAATTGCTTTCAGAGTTCGGCACGGGAAGAATGGTTTCAAGTCCTCGACTCGCGCCTTTATTGTTTTTATTTGGAGACGTTGCCGATATTCTATTACGAGTCTCTGTGTCTCCTCGACGGTCCAGAGGGTGGCTCTCGCCGCCTTCGGTGCGCCGTTGCTCGTCTTTACCTCGAGGAACTTTTTTTTGATGGCAGCAGCGGTTCGACTGGGGAGTTGCTCACTCGCAGCGGCGATTATTCCGGCAGTAATTCTGCCGTCTTCTGGGAGGAGATTGCGGATGGTGTTGATTTCGTGTTCCTTCCAGGTGGCCATCGCTCAGGACAAGTGTTGCGCCCCCTAATATTATACACTGTTCCGCCACTGAGTTACGCTTCTCGTCAGGTCGCACGTGTGGTGTGCGTAGGAGGGGTCGAGGGTGCACATATGGGATATGGCGACACTGTTGTCTGGTTTTGGTTTGGGGATGATTCGGGTTGGTGAAGGGATTGACGGCTGGGTAGGTGTGTGTTGGGTCCGATTATTGTCGCGGCTGTTATTACTTCCGATAATTAGCAATAATCGTAGCGGTTCTGATTTCGCCTCTTCCTATAAAACGCGTTTATTCGGGAGGGCTATGTGGACGCCGCGTATGCAAATTCAGAACTGGGTAGTATATCTTTATTCACTTGTTGTCATTATAATGGGATTATAATTACAATGGCATTGTGATTAATGTGTAATATCAAGAAACTATAGGTAGACAAATAAATAAGAAATAAATAATAAATAAATATTATAGTACGGTGTTGGGGCGAAATTCTAGTTGGCGTTACTCACGCAGGTGCTTCATAAGTATCTGTGTTGTTTGTGTGATCACCCTGTAGGTGGCGTTGTTCAGGAGCCTCTAGGTTTTGTAATTTGGGACACCCAATGTCTGCATGAGTCCTTGGAACTTGCGGTGTTCTTCGGTGTTTAAAACCTCTCCGTAGCAGCCGATTATTAATAGGTCTAATTTGACCTTGCATCGGTGTAGGTGTGCAAGTTGGTCTGCTAGGTTGGTGTCCCTACTTATGGTCTTGTAGTTTCGATGGTTTATGTCGACCATAGAGTTCTTCGTATACTTTACCCGTTTTGTTCCCTCCTGTGTGCGGTAGTTTTGCAGGTGCGGAACTGAGACTTCGAACAGTAGTGTTTGTGGGTCCCGGGTCAGTATCTATCTGGACCATAACGTCCGGTTTATTGTGGTGTAGCGGTACTTCTGTCAGGATACTCTGGCCCGCTCGTATCCTCAGTCTTCCGTCTGGGATCTCGTACTCTGTGTTCAGAACTGCCTTCCCGAAGTGCAGCCCCTTCACGATGTCATAGGGGGCGTTAGTCGCTTCCAAGATCGTTCGGAGGAGCCAGTAGACCACCTGGTCGTGTCGTGCGTTGTAGCTGGTTGCTCGACAAGATGTGGCGACGTGGTAGGCTGTTTCATCTTCCTGGCATCCTTTGCGGCACTTGCGGGAGCCTTTCTTTCCGGGAACTGCATGCAGCTGGTGGAGTTGTTCTTCGGCAGCGGCGTTAATCAACGATAATTTCGCTGAATCTGTACGGTGATGTTGGGCTGCTGGGAAAGAGATGGTGTTGCTTTCTGCGAGTACTAGTTTGGGGTACTGCATCGCTTTTGCCTAGTCTTGTGCTCGGGTCTCGAGGTCGGCCTTTCTGATCGCCTTTACAATTTGGGTTGACAAGATGTTAAAGTCAGTATTCTCTACGTCTTTGACTCCATATTTCTCCATGATGTATCTGTAGTCTCCAATTGGCGTGCGGCATTTCGCTCTGTCAAGCATCTTATATTGCTCATGAATGTTGCGGAGCTCTGGGTGTGTCCTCAGGTAAGTGTGCTTTTTGACATATTGGATTTCGGTTTCGGTTTCTATTGATTTGAAGCCGAGGCCGCCGATGTTGTGCGGTAGATACGCCCGTCGGTTGGAGATGGGCCTAGTCTTGACGTTTTCATTGAGCATCAGTTTTCTAATTTTCAGGTCGAGGTCTCGGCATCGCTTCAGAGTTCCCTGGACACTGTTGGTGGGGTATACGTTGCCCGTTACGTAGACCGCAGCTGGGATGACACAACTATTGAAGAGTCGCCTCTTCTGAGCTGTGGTTAGTTTGGAAGCTAATATCTCTGAGGCTTTGGCGGTAACTTTGTCCTCGAGGATGTCAAAATTTTCGGCTGTGTCTCGTTCAGTCTGAATGAGGCCTAGGTATTTGTAGCCGGTCTTCACTGCTGGTATGCGGTCGACGACGTCATTTTCTTCTCCTTCGCCCACTGCACTGCAGTAGTGCCCACATTTCCCCAAGTTTAGTTCTAGACCCAGTTGACGTGAGTAGTCTTCGAGCGTGGTTGTTATTGCTTGAATTGCCTCTTTGTTCGGGGCATGGCATTTGATGTCGTCCATGTAGGCGATAATCTTATGTTTTCTCTTTGAGAGCCGGTTGATCGTCGGGTCTTCTTTGATCTTTTCGATGACCCCAGCTGTGACTAAGATGAGGAGCATTGGGCTCAGCGAATCTCCCTGGTAGACGCCCCTCCGAATTGGGATCCGGATTGGTGTTCTTTGGGTGGGATTCAGGCAGATGTTCCATTTGCTGATAGCAGCCTGGATGGTGGTTTTCATTTTCGCTGGTATTGGTAGTGCGTCCACTAAGGCTCGGATTTTCTTGTGGCAGACTGTGTCAAAGGCTTTACGGAAGTCGTACCAGGCCGAGTGGTGTTCACGTCTGCGCAGTCGGGACATTTGAGTGGCCGCTTTGTCGCGTAGGAGTCCGTGCATGGTGCCCCATACTCCTACCCCGGACATTTGTTCGTCTGGGATTACATGGCCCACAGCACTTTTCACCACAGTGTTGATGACTTTCGTGGTGATTTTATAGTCTGTATTCAGCAACGAAATCGGTCTGTAATTGTTGGGGTCTTGGGTGTCGCCGGTTTTGTGTAGTAAGATGATAGGTAGTTTAGCTTTATTTACTTTTTTGTACATACATTAAATATAAGTACAATGTAATATATATATTGCTTATTCAGTCGACATAAAGAGGGGTACATTATCTAGGGAGGGTCGGGGGGCAGTTCATCTTCCCATGTGGCGGCACAAGATCTTCGTTGTCTCAGTGATGACACTGTATGCCGCCTTCTGGTACAGCGCCTTCACCTCGCAGTCCTTCACTCCTAGGGAGCCCGGCAGCCTTGCGAAGCGCCGTCGTTCGTCGGTGTCCAGTACTTCCCCATAGCCAACCCACTATGAAGAGGCCCAGGTGGACACGGCATCGATAGAGGGGGGGCCAGTTGATCCAGCAGGTTGAGATCCCGTCCGATGGTCTGGTAGTTTCTCTGCCACCGAGTTGCGCCCGTACTTCGTCCGTTTTATCCCCTCTTGTGTGCGATAATTCTGCAGGTGGGGGATGGAGACCTCGAAGATGTAGGTTGAGGGCACCCGGGCTAGCACCTGTACCATAACATCTGGCTTGTTATGGTGCAGAGGTACACCAGTGAGGATCGCCTGACCCGCGCGGATTCTCACCGGGCCCAGCGGCGCGTCGAACTCCGCGTTCAGCATCGCCCTTCCGAACTGTAGTCTGCGCCTCACCTCGTCGGGGGCGCTAAGCGCCTCCAATAGGGTGCGCAGCAGCCAGTACACCGCCTGGTCGTGACGTGTGGTGTACGACGTCGTCCTGCAGGACGTGACCACGTGGTATGCAGTCTCTTCCGCCGGACAGCCCCGCCTGCAGCGTCGGTCTTCGGCCAGCCTCCTCCCGGGGGTGGCACGGAATTGGGTGATCTGCTCTTCTGCCGCGGCGTTGATCATCGATAGCTTTGATGAGTTGGTGCGGAAGTACTCAGCCGCTGGGAAGGAGATGGAATCCCGCTCTCTGAGAACCAGTCTTGGGTATTGGAGGGCCTTCCCCCAGTCTTGCATCCTGACCTCCAGGTTGGCCGCCCTGATGCCTTCCACCAGCCGCGTCGCTAGGTCTCGCCAGTTCTCTTCCACGGGGATCTCCAGGTTGTACTTCTCGGCAATGTGCCGGAAGTCGCTGAGCGGTGTGCGGCACCTTGCTGCGTCCAGGGTCTTGTACTGCTCAAGGATGTCCGTGAGCTCTGGATGGCACGTTAAGTACGCATATCTCCTCGCGTACTGTATTTCTGTCTCGGTCTCAATGGACCGAAAACCAAGACCGCCGATGGAGTGCGGCAGGTAGGCACGTTGGTTGGAGGTCGGCAGCGTCTTGATGTTCTCAGCTACCATGTGTTTCCGGATCTTCAGGTCCAGCGCGCGACATGCCCGCAACGTTCCCTGAACACTGCTGTTGGGCATGATGTTTCCTGTAACGTACACCGCCGCTGGAATGACGCAGCTGTTAAAGATCCGTCTCTTCTGCGCCGTCGTGAGGTTGGAGCTCAGGATCTCCTCCGCCTTTGCCAGAATCTTCTCCTCGAGGATGTTGAAGTTCTCAGGAGAGTCGCGCTCCGTCTGGATTAGTCCCAAGTACTTGTAGCCATTCTTGACTGCGGGGATGAGGTCGTCGTCGTCTCCGCCTTCCTCGTCGGCCTTTTGCAACCTACAGTAATGGCCACATTTTCCCAGGTTCAGTTCCAGACCGAGGGCGCGCGCGCTCTCTTCCAGCATCGCCATGATCGCCCGGGTGGACCTGTTGTTGGGGGCGTGGCACTTGATGTCGTCCATGTAGGCCACTATCAGGTGTTTTCCCAGTGACAGGCGGGCGATTTGGGGGTCCTCCTTTATCCGTTTGATAATGGAAGCCGTCACCAGGACGAATAGCATCGGGCTCAGGGAGTCGCCCTGGTAAACACCTCTTCGGACGGGTATCTGGATCGGCGCCTCACCAGGGGGGAACAGTTGGAGGTTCCACTTACTCATTGCGTCCTGGACGACGGTTCTCATCATCTTTGGGATGGGCAGGGTGTCCACCAAACTGCGGAGTTTCCCGTGGGGTTAGTTAGTATAGTGGTAAGTATCTCCGCCTGTCACGCAAGAGACCGGGGTTCGATTCGAATGTAGCAAAGTTAGTGAAAAAGTGTGATGATTGTCAGGTGTAAACATTCTATAAATTTAATGTGGGGTCTATGTCAGTAAAATCTACTATATCACTTAATTTTGAATAATTTCGTGCCTTAATTATGGTTCTCAGCTCTCTGTTTCGACCCCGTTTGCGAACACGTTTATAACGGGTGGGCTAAAATTATCCGGAAATTTTGTTACTCTAGTTAAAAAAAAACTATTTACAATAAACTAATTTTATTAACAAAAGCAGCAATATTTAAACTTTCAAAAACTAATATTACAGTATTGAAAAAGCACCTTTTGCTTCAATGTTTCTTAATTTTCCCCTGACCTTTAACATCATCCTTTGGATGACGTCAAGGTCTATTACCCGTAACATTTTTTTGATGCGAAATTTCGGCCTTCTGGTGGATTTGGCCTCCTAACCTTCAGCGTATACCATTGAAGCTAAAATACCCCAAAAATCTTGTATGGGACGCGCTTTTGGTACAGTCGAGGCCATTAATAATGACCGCCTCCCGGTCCTAGCAATGGACTGCCGAAAGTACCCGAGCAGTTTGAGAAAGGCAAGTTGGTTTACAATTGCAAACACAGACCTACATTTATCAAAATTCAGCTTTCTCTAAGGGCTGGCCAAAACACATAATTATTATTAGAATGTGTATTAATAAAATTATTGACAATTGGCAAACATTCATTCATTCATTCACATACACTGGTTATATTACAGATCGAATTATCCCCAAGCGATACTACTCCCCTCTATTTATTAGTTATCTATTTTTTCTAACAATATGACGACTAAGGTAAATGTGAGTAGTAAGGCACACCTAACGATCTATGTTTTCTTTCTCAAAAAAACCTGCATATTTTTTAGATCTTTTAATTTTATAAAAACAAATGAACTTTCATAATTATTAAAGAAAAATAAAATAAACAAAAACAAAAATTTTTAGGTTTAAAAAAACCTTGTTAGTGGGCCTTGTTTCATGTACTGCTTATAATGAGGCGGATCTATTTAGGGTGTACAGTCCGAGCAAACAAATTCATCCTCGTCTTCGGCGGTAGCCCTACAGAATCTTCGTGGACCCAGATGAAGCATATGATACACTGACGCGTATCAGCCTTGAAATCACATAACTTACAAAACCAGTTTTCTTCAGAATTGGATTCTGCGTTCTGTGCCGATGTAGATGGACCCATAGTTTCCAGTTGGCTAGTGTTGACTCTCTTTTTTCTAGAGACTCTCTTTCGTTTTTCCCAGTTCTTTAGATTTTGCGCCAAACAATCACGATATTTCTTAAGTAATTTTTGTTAGAAGGTCCGTGGGGCAACAAAGCACTATTCAACGCATAAGACGCTTTATTAACAACGCTTAACTACATACCACACTAGTAACTATACTATACAAGTTAACACCGAAAAGACCGCCATTCTCATCTCGTGCTGCCGCTTCGTGGTGACCGTTTGTTCTGTCACTTGGCCTGACATGCGCACATGCTGTGACCCGCAGTACTTGCACGTCTCCACGTATCTATCGCCAGTCTCATTCCAACAATTTTAACAGACTTTCCTGCAACGCAAATGGAGAGCGAGAAATCTGAGTTGCCAAAATGAAGTTACTTATAGGATTGTTGTTTTGTACCGGTTTCTCGTAGCACTTTTGTCTACGGATGATTATTTGTTCCTTTCGGTAATGCAGCTCCTCCGTGCCTTAAATTCACGACAGGTAGGACACCTTGGAGGCCGCCAAAAACACCGGAGGATGTCGCCCGTACTGCCTCGATGTCAGGTCAGATAGTACCGATGTATGATGTTTCCACCTCGACATGTCCAACATACTACTGCGGTATCACAGTAGCATCCTTCGCGCATACGACCACTTTCAACGGTTCAACCCCATCAGGAACCAGTAGATAAGTGTTTACTCGACACCCACAACTTGTCACGATTAATCACCAGTAGGACATCTGGATGGTTCATAAACAGCTGTCCGATTAGGACCGGTATTGCTTGTAGATTATTATCGGCAATAACGAGTACACGAACGTCGACGTTCACATCCCCTACTTCAAGTGTAGCGCTCGCTTCTTCGATTGCCGGTGACACTCCCTCTTATTATCGCCCGAGAGCTGTGCGAGCTTGTACCGTTGTACAACTTTCTTACAGTCTTACATTCTTACAGTTAACAAAATACACACGCTGGCCACATTTCACTTTGCGTGCTCAACACCTCTTTTCCTTTGGTTCACTTAATACACGTTTCGACTGTATGTCCTAAACGAGTACAACCTTTGCACTGTACCAACTTTTGGCTAAGCCACGGACCCCATTCTGAATGTGGTACCCCTTTTTGACGTCATCCCAATTGTGGACCTTCCTTAACTGGTCGATCTTAAACAGCCAGCGGGTAATTGATATATTATTCGAATTGCCTGGAATAAATTCGGTCGGTCCGTGGATCTTTCGCGAACCATTTTTTCCTGTTCCAAACGTTCGATACGTTCGGCGCATCGTCTTTTCGCACATCGCGTCTCCGAGCTCCGGCAAGCTCTCTCACTGGGATACTTCTCCCGTGGTCGTTGAGATCATCTTCGTCATCCTCCTGTTCGTTGTATTTCTTCACAAACGTACCGCACTGTACTCTTGCAGTTGTCACTGCACTGCACATGACATAATCCCACTTCTGAACTAATAACTAAAAATTGCCAAAATCTCAAAGCGACACAAGGAAATGGAAACACGAGAGCAAAATCAACATACGCCTTTATTCTTCGACAAGAAAAAAATAGGCTGTCCCCTTGACTGCTTCCCTTGCACTTTATCGTATATTTTTATTGTCCGTGGATACTTACACTCAAATGGCTGGAATTTCGGCTAGCGTGACACCATGTCGGGGCCAATAGCGAGGGTACATTACTTACAATATATATTTCCTATTTTAGACCACTATAGAGGACAGCAGATTTTAAGTTAGTCTGAAAGAGTTCATAGTCATTTGCCGCCACGATGGGAAACAACATATGCACTGATTCACCTAGTTATTTAACAATGAAATTTACCTAAACTAACTAAAATATTGTATACATACACGTTGAAACCTTACATCCTAACAATAAAATCATGTAGGTTCTTTGGGGTTTTCCTAATTCTAGATGGTCTGCTAAATTCACGTGCTGCGGGAGAAATCATTCGTTCAGTGACTGGTGTAGGTTGAGTGTCTTGACGTGTGTCTCATTCAGATCTGCTGGTACAGGAGTCTCATTAGTGGGTTGGTACGTATTGAGGCAGGAATAGGTACTTGTGGTAACATAGAGTCGTAATTTACGGGAATTCCCATTTTCACTTTGGAATGTCTTTGTGCCGTCTAATGGTGGTGTCCTGATTCAATATTGACTCACCATACTCACTCCTTTTCATTATTTGATTTGGGTAACGCCAGTTGGGATAAATAAGTGTCGTTGCTAATTGTTTTAATTATTCTTGCATTAACCCATCTTTTCTCGGTTGTACGATAGTCTCTGGTTACGACTTTGTCGTTGATTTTAAAATTTCGCCTTGTACTTGGCTCGCGGCGTATTTTTTAAAAATATGGTCCTCACGAGTCATTAGGTGGAACCTTGTGCGTAATTCTGGACCAAACAAGGCTTTCGCTGGAGATACTTTGGTCGTCGTATGCGGTGTGTTTCTATAAATTAACAGGAAACGAGAAAGTATCGTATGGATAGCGGTATTTCTATTTTGTTCATCTGCCAACGTGGACTTCAGCGTGTTTTTCACTATCTTAACACCGTTTTCGGCAAGGCCGTTACTTTGAGGGTGGAATAGCGAGATTGTCATGTGTTTGATTCCGTTTCGGTAATGAAAATCTCCATTTCTTCGGACATGAAGGAAGGTTCGTTATCGGAAACAACAACTCTGTTTTTGGTAGTCCAAATCAAGAGAAGCAATCTTTAAGCATTTCTACAGTAGTCTCGCTTGTAATATTTTTCATGCTGTAAATTTCTAACCATCTAGTGCACCTGTTTACGATAATCAGGTATTGTCCTTGCAGGAACGTGAAAAAGTCCATGTGTATAATTTTGAACGGATTAGTCGCTTTGCATGATCTGCGTATCTGTTCAATCTCTTTGTTGACTCCAGGAAACCATATGAACCATCATTTCGCCAGAGCTTTGATTCACACAATGTTTTGATGAGCGGAGTGCAGTTCATTTTTTACTATTTCTCGTTGGTATCGAACAACAAACAGCCACTCACTACGTGCAGGTCTAATTTACGATTATAAAGTAGTTGAAGGTTTTCATCCCAATCGAACATAATCTATAACTTTAGTTAGTATAGCGTCATTTGCTGCTTCTTCTTTTATCATGGCATTATCTATAGGAATATCTACATTTGAGAAATATGTGGTATGTATTCGTCAAGTATAAATTGGTTATCTAAGTGGTAAACGTAACAGTCTGCGACTGCGTTGTCACGTCCCTTTATGTGTTCAATTTGAAAGTCAAAGTTTGAAAAATATAGTGCGTAGCGCTTTATTCGATTTGCGTATGTCTGGTTTATTTTCTTTTGTTTCCCAAAGAAGTAGACCAACGATTTTTGATCTGTACGTAAATCTCGCTCCATATAAGTACTCTTGAAGTTTGTTTATGGCGAAATGGTACGTTAAACTTTCTTTGTGCACTTTGTTGTATGTTCTTGATACACAGGTCAGTGCTATTCGCCATCCTGTGTGAAAGGACCGCTGCTATGCCTCGTTCAGAAGTATTACATGTTACAGTGATGGGTCGATTGGGGTCGAAGTAAGTTAAAACCGTATCAGACGCAATCTTTTGATTGATGCTTCTGAACGCTATATCACATTTATCAGGCCATTGAAATATCACGTCCTTTTTTAGTAATTGATAGAGGGGTGCTAGAGTTTCTATAATGTTAGGTATAAATTTACTATAATATATAATTAACCATTCGAATAAACGACTTAAGTTCGGTAATATTATTTGGTCGCGGAGTAGCTGTTATTGCTTCGATATTATCTTTGCTTTACTTAAACCGTTTTGTGATAAATCATCTCCCAGATATGAGATTTTGCTTTGAGGTAAGTGACATTCATCCAGGTTGTTAGGCCAGCAATTACATATTGTTGATTTTGTTATGCTGAACCCAAAGGTTGAAACCTTACGTACGCTTTCCGAAGATACAGGAATTTTCTCTGAAGGATGTTTTCCGTTCATATGATTCGTTAGGTTTGTCGTATTTCCACAAGGTTTTACTTCCTTCAGACATATTTTGCAGGCTCCACCGTCTTTTGTTTTAATAAAGAATTTCCAGACATCACTCTCTCGTTGTGAACTCATTGTAAACATATTTAGGACTATCAGTATTTTAGTATCGTTTAGAAAATGATTACTTTTTTGAAGTTGTATGAGTTTATTTACCGCTACATCGATCCGAACTAACACCACTGGCGGCTTTGATCTTTAGTAACAAAATCTATTAAAAAAAAACCAATTATTACAAAAGTTATATCAAAGAAAAACGTACTGCTAAATTAAAAACAAATATTTGACATTGATTTTAATGAAATTAAGGTAACAGAGTCCTTGGACCCTTTTCTAAAAATTGTTTAATTACGTCATTAGTCTTTGTTCGCGAAAATGTATTAAATACGAAAAATAATTGCCTGCAATAAGTTACGACTTACCTGGTGATGCGTGTGTCAGCGATATGACGATGAAGGGGATGAGTAGCGACGAAATGACACAGGCGACGAAATGAGTACCGTGAAGGCACTAGTACACAAAGCGATAACAAGTACAACGAAAGTAATTACGACACGAAAGGACACGCAGGGGTGTTTTATCGAACTGATCGATCAGGAGTATGAAATGCTACTGAGTGCGGCTGGTGGTTCTTTTGGCACTTTCATCCCCTTTTCCCACAGACGTGGTGATCCTGAACGTCTGGCTGGACCGGAGGCACGGTCGTAAACATAATTGGAGGGTTAGATATATAAAAAAAAAAACTAATTTAAGCTAGCCGAAACAATCTTAATCTCACAACTTAACTCTTGCTCTACATTCATAAGGAGTAGGAATTTCGGCCTTTCTTGTTTCATTGTAGATCTTATTTTTGTTTTAACTAGCACAAGTTTGGAGAATGCTCTTTCCGCTCCGGCTGTTGATATCGGAATTGTAAGAAAAATTCTAATTACATCATTAATTCTCGTATATAAAATATCAAGTTCAGGATGGTCTTGAAACTGCTGAACCACATCGTTCATAGACTCAACATTGATAAAATGGTCATCATTTTTATATACTTAAATCTATTTCGCTTTTCAATTCGTCGAAATCTGTAGAAGTGAATTACATAAACTCTTTATTTCGTCGTCCCAAATATATTTTTTTTCACAAAAGAGTTCTCTAGGAGATCACTGACTATTTGCGAAAATCTGGTTTCAATTCCATTAGTAATATTATCTAGCA